CATCTGCCCTCTTGGCGAGATGTCACCTCTTGGCGAGATGCCAAATCACGTGATCTTCGCCCCGCGATGATCATTACCTTCTGACGTGGACGTCCATAGGCCTTCAGCCATCTCGTCATTTGTCAAGGAGAGAATCCTTCTTGTTACTTGTAACATTTGCGTGTAGTAGAGAGCTATAGGCTATTCTACTTAAGCTATTAAAGCTTCTTAAGTATAGCCTTAGTGTTATTAACCTTACTATGTAGGCGTTTGATATCGCCTTTCGCGTGCTTAATCTTAGCTAAATACTAGTAGTATAGAGATGTAACTTTAGTAGATATATTAATAATAGCTATTACGCTTGCTGCTCCTAAAAGGCCGTCTATAGTATAGGGCGCTATTATATCCGCGGCGGACGTAGTTCTATAGAGGGTTTAATAGAAGCTCGCGAGGCTCGTAAAGCGGCGAGGTCGCTACGTAGAGGTGGGAGATGTTGCCGTTCATCTTGGTGCTGCGAGGCTAAGAAGGCGGCTATGGCTGAACGCTGCAGCGTCGACGTGGACTAGTAGAGTTATACTGTACTAGCCTTAAGTTAGCTTGCGCAGCTAACTATTACCTTATTAAAATTACTATGTATTAAATGGGCGTGCATAGCTATTACAGTAAAGAAAATAGATTATTTTGAGGTTGGCGAGATTTATCCCCCCGTTTTTAAAACTTGTCCCCCGCGGAAGTACTAAAAATGGCAGCTCTTGCGCTACGCAATGCAATTTTATAGCAGCACCACGTGTAATTTTGATATTTAAAGCTGGAAATATGCTTTGGGTACACTAAAGTAAGATATTGCTGGCCTTAGGCCTTCTTCTATATAGAGGGCCGTCCACGCCTGCGATAGTACCGAGTATAATACTAAATAGCATTATCTTGTAATGAGGAAGTCTAAATTGTTGGTGCATTGAACGGGGTAGCTTGTGTTAACATATACCTTGATTGGGCTATATCTACGATCGTGATGTTGTGAGTACTGCTATTAAGGCCATCACGATAGACAGCGACAGACAGCGATACTACTCTCTCTCTACCGCGCCGCCTGGAAGATAAAGGAACTCGCTCTAATGCTAGAAATAGGTTAGCACGTGATTAGATAGATGCTTCGAGAACTGAACGCCACACTTTGGCCTAATCTAACCTAGTATGAACTAGTGCGCTATTCACGTAAGCAGACTAAAGTTACAGGCTAATAGAATAGGGTTACGGCTAGAACTTAGATCTATCCGGAGTATAACTTATTAAAAGAGAAAGTATTAAATAAATATAGAGATATACTCTTCTATATTAGTCTTACTATTTAATATCTCTAATACATAGAAATTATGCATGCATCGTGCTACGATAGGGGTGTGAAGCCAACTAGCCTAAGACTGGCTACTACAGAATTGGCGACGACAGGACCAAACATGCTGTAATATTTTAACTGCCCTTATAAGTTTATAGAGAATAACCTTAAGAATACTCATTTCATTATTACGGTGCAATAATAGCGATTGCATGAGTTCTAAGATACTAAAATCGCGGATTCTTTGCGGCACAGGGGGACTTGCGTGACCCAGGGAGGGATGCTACCACGAACATGCACCGCACCATTCACAATTAGCGATTTCATATGTGAGGACAGGATGTATATGATGCGACATGGAAATTGGGTCATAGCCTAGTGGCTATTGGCATAGTAACTAGTGTCGTCGCCTAAGTAAGTTGGTCATTGAACCTACATAACCACCCATCTAAAGGATAGTCCTATATAATTCATATTAAACCTAGGCAAGAATCACTGAAGCCTCGCTCCCATTTGAACCCTACCTTTCATTTTACTTTCACGTCCTCAACCGACCAATGCCGCGCGCCACCACTGCATAACGTTTGAATAACTTCAATTTGCAAACAGGCTACAAGAAGCCACGAGTCACTACTTGCTCGATTATTTACCATCATACCAATGTCTGTACAACAAGCATCATTCTGAACTGTCAACAGTCTAACATCGTTTCTATTCATAAAACTAGCTATGTACATATACTTTGGCCATGACGTAGCAATGCATACCAACGTGTGAATACGGTTATCAGATGTTGTCTTTACATTTTTACTCTAAATCGGTACCGTCCTCTACTTTAATCTCTCCGAATCATTATGTGCCTGTTCGATAGTAGACTCGATGGTGTCGTACCTTCCTCTCACTCCATCGTGCTTGCCTTCACGGCGCCCCGCCAATCATGTATTTCCCTCTAGTCTATCCCTTTCATTCACTACTGCTGCAATTTGGCTTTTTTCTCGCTTCGACTTAGCTGCGCTTTCACTTTCACCGCATCGCACCCTGGTCTATATAAACTTTGCCAGCGGCCTTCAGTTTCGCTCCTACTTGCACACCTCAACTGAAGCCGCAACGACGATACTACGCTCGCTCAGACCCTCCCCTTTTCAAAGCAGCCCGGGATTGTTTCAAATACCTAGTAAACATACACAATGAGGTGCTTCCTTGTCTTCATCGCGCTGTTGATAGCTTTTGCTCTCACGAGTGCCTCGGAAGACGTCGCAGCTACCTTGGACTTGGACTTGGGTAAGAGAATATCAAAAAGTTGCCGAATCATTCGCTGACAAGAATCAGAATCATCTCTCACCACCCTGATCAGCAATGGTGTACCTCTCACGAATTCAACTAATCCTCAAATCGGGGGCACCTCTTTGCAGGACTCACTCGCCGGCGATTCACAGCTTCAGGAATGGTTTAACCAACTCAATGAGGCCACACGCAAAAACGAGACTTGGTCCGCTGGGCACTATGCAGAGGCGATAGCTGTCGACGATTCCCTTTCCAATGCAACCACTGCTGATGCTGCCGCCGCGAAGAAGCCACTTCCTAACCTCGACGGCTACTACCGGTTCGACGTCCGCATCGGCAAAGACTCCACCCACACAGGTACACTTCGCAAAGGCCGCATGTTCAAGCGCATGTACTCTGCACTGAAAACCTGTGGCATCGCCCATAGGGACCCCTCAATCCCCGGTTTCTGCAGCGACGATCGCCCCGAATGTCCCGACCATTGCCGTATCGAACAAATCGTATACTCCAAAGACGGCGAATGGGCTTCAGACTCACACATTGCACTCAGAGTCAAATTCTCGTACTTCGACATCAAGCATCACCCAAAGATCCAGGATCTTGGGGTACGTACACACACTGCAGCAAGTGTCAGCTACTAGAAAACGTGCTAACAAAACGACAATTAGTTCCGCATCGTCGCCCGCATCTTCGAACTAATGACCATGCAGGGTAACAACTGCCTTTTCCACAACTTCCCGTGGTCGCGACGGACACTGTTGTGCAGCGTAGCCGACAAGGTGGAGCTCGCATTCCCTATCAACGGCGGTCTCATCCAGGGCGTCCTCAACGTGGAACTCATATGGAGCAAGAAGACGGGAAAAAACACTTTCAAATGTTTGGGCAATACTGAGGGTGACGTCGACGCCATGATGTGGACGGATTTTCGCGACCCGCTTTCTGATGCCATGGCATGGCCTGCGAAGCAGATCCTGCCGTTTGTCTTTTGTGCCGAAGATAATTGCTTTAAGCAGGATCTCAAGATTGGAGAGCCGTGGCATGAAGGTAAGGGATGTAAGACGCTGGATTGGCCGGTTGGATGCGATCCAGATCTCACGGGGCCGTCTAACCCTAAGCTCAACTGTCCGCCTCCAAGGCGCCAGTAAAAGGGGTTCTCGATCGTGTAGTGGGGTTTTGGCACATAGTTCAATGAAGAGTTGAGGGAGCAAAGGCTAGAACGATGTAGTGTGGTATCCAGACGAGATAGGGATGGCCCATTTGAGTGTGCATTTCCTTTGCAAGTCTATTATGTATTGCGCCTCACCGAGTAGGTATCTATGGCCAGTATCTCAATCATATGTGAATTACTCCTCACCTATTTGCGATCCTGGTTCCGTGGCTCTGCACATCCCACTATCGCACACCTCCTTCTCCGCCAACAAACCATCGGACTCATTATACCCTAGTCATCTACTCAAGAAACACCCTATCTCATCCCAACCAGCATCAATGCTCGCAAAAACTATACGTTTGCCTCTGCCACCCTTCCTCACTCTTCTTAACAAACGCACTCCTCTCACGCATAAGCTTCAAGCGATGCTCATTCGCCTCCTGCACCGTCATTGGCAGCGCAAACTTATCCTGTTTAAGATATACGCGCACAAATTCCATGAGTTCTTCTGGGAGCCGGCATTCACGGTTATTAGTGAGGCCAGGCGAACCGAGCTCGATAAGCAGCTCGACGATATCCGGAGGCAGCTTCTCCAGCGCGGCTTGCTGGGCTGCTTTGCTAGATCCGAAGATGGATTCTGTGTACCAGCTCATTTGCTGGGGCGGGATGTTTGCAGTGGAGATGATGCGTTTTGTAGGGTCAACGAGCCACAGGGCGATGAAGCGGCGGTGGCCGGGTTTGGTGGGGTCGATGAGTTTGAAAGAAGAGACGCGATGCTGGCTATTTTTTTTGATTTTGTCAGAATTAAGGGAACTCTTCAACTACGTAGGGCGCACTTACAAGACGTTGGGAAATGCCAAAAGGCGTCCCTGACGCGTCTGAACACTGCCGTAGTTTTGGAGACGAGGACCATTGCCGGCCCCCAATGCGGTACCGTAGATCTGTTCCAGCCAGTGGTAGGAGTCCTGTCCCACTTCAAATTCAGGCCACTCTTCAATGTCTTCGGGGACCTGCATGCGGAATGAGAGGCTGTCATCCGTTATGTTGTCACTATCCAAGTAATACAAGGCAGTGGCGCATATCTTTTCGTTCATCTGTCCCTCAACGTGCCATCCGCCAACGGGAAACTCCGGCTTTTCCGGCGTCAGTTCGATTGAGGCCATCTTGACGATAACCTGCAGTCCAGAAGCAGCGAATCTTTCGGCCAGATGTTGACCAGATTTCGGCGCATAATTAACATTTCTGAAGGGAATTGCCGGTATCTTTGGTTTTCTGAGCTTCTCCCATTTGTATTGCATGTAGTCTTTTTGACGTCTTTCTGGCCGATTGGCGTAGAATTCTTCGTCATAGCCTCTTTCAGCGAGTTCACTCATGTCGACATCTGCATCAGCACAAGCCTCAATGTTATCGGGAATCCAAAGATGCAGTTCCTCATCACTGCAAAAGATCACAGGTAAGCTCTTGACTAAAGTCAAAAATAAAACTAGATGACTTACCTGGCACTGTCTAGCTTATCAGCTCGTAGTTCAAGGCGACCGGCACCTTGATATGTATCATAGCCAGTCGCCATCCGTAGACATTGATCCCACATAGGAATCGATGTCTCTATCAGTTTCTCGATTGTGCGATAGATATCCGGGTATTTAGTAGGGTGAAGGTTATTGATATAGCTAGTAAACTTGACTTTGCCACCTTCCCTGAAGGCCACATTTGCTGGCAGCCACTGATATGTATCCGACCAGTATTCTGGCGGAATTCGATGGCCACTAGACCACTCGTAAAGTGGAAAGAGTGGCTGGTGTGCGAGCACTGTTTCGAGTGATTCGGATTCTAGTTTAGGAATAATGTCTCCCTTGCCAGCCCAATATCTGATGGCGTCAGTCACACCGACTTTCTCTGCTTGAAATCCGCGGCTTCGGCCGTAAACAAGCGGGTACATTGAAGGATGTACCAAGTCCTGTACCATATCACCTGAGTTGGGATGCCAGTCCGGGGAAGACGCACAATCAGTTTTGAGTTTGTCAAATGCGATGCGCAGATCTTCGTGGAGGTCGGCAGGTACAATGACATCGGACTTGGCAATTGAAGCTGATGCGTCAAGCGTAGGGATGATTCCAGTCATCTCAAAGTACTTTGCTTTGCTTCGAAGTTCTTCAATACACTTTCAGGGTCAGCTGACGATGCAGATCCAATAATGATAATGACCCACACTCTGGAAAGTGGCCTCGTCCATGATATTTGTTAGGTCGCATTCGAGGTAAGACATACTTTCAAAGACGGGTGGCCCATCGTCACTGGGCCACATCTGTAACTTTGCGGAGGTCGCCAAGCTCCAGAAGTCGGCATCCGGGACTGCAAGGGCTTCTTTGCGCCATTTCGCCACAATATCTTCGTCGAAAACTTTCCGATGCCAGTTTTCTTTGTCAGTCAACTTTTCCATGACATCCATCATGGCAAGCTCTCGCACAGGCACTAGTTCAGACTGAGTTCCGGTACAATCGACATGGGCGCCTATGGGATAAAAAGGGAATCGAGTATTATCCAATGCCCTCAGTGGATGTCCAAGCCCAGGATATTCAATTTTTGGTGTTGGGGGACTGCTCGAAACATCGTGCGCCATGTTTGGGTGTGGGCGTAGGCGATGAGCGTTCTTGAAGCGAATACAGATGAAGAGTTTGTACAGAGATGTATGGCGAGGTATTATTGGCCTTTATATCAACGCTGTTACATAGCTTTAGGCTTGTACGCTGAGTGGTGTTGCTACGCTAGCGCAGGCAACCCTAGTGCTGCCTGATGTTGTCGGCTTGGTGCGGGGATTGACGAGGCACTTTAGTGCTTTTGGGGCTACCGTGTCCGTGCACCTTGTGCGCGGATTCGGCTTGTGCGCACCCAGAACCTTAAACCGCGTCTAAACACTAAACTTTAACATATAATAACTCTACTACTATAGCTTTAATTAATAATATAATTATAGATTTAGATTTATATAATTTAGAAAAAAAACTTAATATTATAGAAGTTATATAAAAGTAGGGCGTTATATAC